ACCAGAGACCACCCACATGGACGTTGGGCGCCACTCGCAAGGCATATGCATGTGAGAAAAAAAACCAGGCTTTTTACAAAACAAACATGCTTTATGGTTTTTTTTTTATTTTCAAACCATTTTTTACTGTAAGCTAATATGATTATTATAGATTTATAGTTATTTTTTAACGTAAAATTATGGCTGTAGTTTTTTTTCTGTGCAATAGCCAAACTGCATTTTACACCAAAAGCCCACAAATTTATGCGCACTTGATTGAATCTCCAAAACCACAGCGTGGGAGTGGCAGAGCTTGTAAAGTCTAGCTTTAAATTATTTTAATCTTTATTTTCCATTTTATAGCTTATTTATTTCGGTTTTTTGTATATGCTCACAATAAAACAATAAACGATTTTTTCAGTGAAAGTAAGAAAAGGTACAAAATGAAATTTACATGGAAATTATACAAGAAGAGTATGGTTTTTAACTGAAATTAAAGAAGCCAAATCTTTTTCATGATTTAAATTGGTTTTCTTAAGAATAAAATGACAAATAACTGCAATAATGTCGATGGCATAAATTTCTCAAAAATCTCAATAATCATAAAATTAAAATACAAAATTCCGTGCTGCACGATTTTTGTGGTAGTATTTAGACCGAGAATATCAGGCCCAGGTTCCAGATTAAATTTATAACCTTTTGCTTCTGCCGATTACAAATATTTCATTTTCAAAAACAGCTAACCAAGCAGAATCGCTGAATCGCAGCATGTTGCACTCTCGTTTCTGGAGCCAACCGTTATGGCCAAGGCCCAAACAGAAACAGCCAGCCAGCCAGTCAGCTGGGGGGAGACCGCAAATTTATGAACTCACAACTCAGTTGCAGATATTTTGGAAGAGCTCGGAGTGGGAAATGGAAGTTGCAGAACCAAGAATCATTTGCTGGCAGTGCACTTTTTAATCTTACAGCATCGTCATCATCATCGTCTCGACTGTTAATTACGTGGCTCAATTGCTCGAGATTAATGTGTTTCCGTTTTGTAATTAAATTGAGAGCTCAGTCCCCAAGAAGGGGCACCGAGTTCCGAAGCTCTAAGCAGGTCAAGCAGCAGTTGAAAAACTCAAACTTGACCCTAATTGCAATTTGTGCACAATTTTATATATTTTATTAAATAAGTCTATTTGGTTTGGCCTTTCACCTTCAATGGGGGAAAAGATTACGGAAATGAAAAGGAAATAAAGTTTGACAAGTCTATTATATAAATTTATTAATGGAATAAAAGCCAAACCTTCACTTTAAGAAATGAATGTTATTTTTAGAAACAAGTACGGCACCTTTTTTTTTGATTCTTTTTAATAGCTTATATGCAAATTGTATTGTTAGCTCCTCATAGTTAGATAGTTAAAAATGTCAAATCATTGCAGAAAAGTACCCTACAATTTGGACAACAGCCCCCTGAGCCAGCCTCACCCTGAATTTGAATTTTGAATTGGAATCGGAATCCGCAAAAGACAAAAGCCGCAATTGTTTGCAAAATATTGCTTGGGCCGGCAGTTTCTTGTCAATTCATTGGCTTTAATTGCTGTGTTTTTGGTGTTTGTTGGTTGGTATTGCCATTGCAATTGTTGGTGTTGGCTGTAGCTGTTGCTGTTGCATGTTGTTAAGCGAGCCAGACACTGTGAATGATATATGGCCTGCGGCAGAGCCTATCCTCCCGGCTCGATCCGACCTCCCAGCCTGGTCAGAAAAGCAAAAGATTGATGGTGTTATGCAATGGAAACCCTTTCTGAGCTTTCTGAGAGGGAGAGCGACCTTATCGGCAATGCGCATCGTTTTTGTGCAGCATAAAAAAAAAAAAAAGGAAAAATAAAAGAAAACTATAAACCATTCAAAAAGTTTCTGCGGCGAGGCACGCAAATATCAAAACTGAACTCCATTGAACCTCCCCCTTCTATTTGCCGCAAAAAAAAAACGAAACAAAGAGAGACCCCGCCAAGGTAATGCCAAAATCCGCTTTGAATTAAAATTGAAATGAAAAAAAAATTCATTTTTATCATTTGGCTAATTTTTTGTTGCTATTGCTATTACTTTTTGCTATTTGGTGGTGCAAATGTCGGAGTCACGCAAGCCCGGACCGGGCCCGGGACCGGGACCCGAACCCCGAAAGCCCGAAAGCAAAGTGCAAAATGTCGCGGCATTATAAATTGAATTGGGGGAAGGTCCTTAAGCTCCTGACTAACTGACGGACAGCGCGAAACAAGGGAACCTACACCAACCTACCCGCGTCCAAAAACTCACTTTTCGCCGAAAAATAAATGAGAAATAGAGAAAACCAAATAAAGTTTATTTTCCGCAGTCTAGACAATAAACTGCAGAGGGACAAGTGGTGGGGATCTCGTCCCTTATTTTGCTTTATTTTTTTGGGGTTTTCTGGGGTGTGGCTGCCAAAAAGGACATTAAATCATTCAGCCACATTGCCGAATGCAGGGCCAACAAATTTTTGAGAGCCAGTTTTCGCAGGGCCAAGGCGAAAAGCCAGACAGACAAGGCTATAGTTTTATTTTCCCCGCATAGGTATCTGACTATCTATGTGCGTATGTATCTCTGAGTATGTGTGTGTCTGGGCTTTGTATCTGAATCTATATCTATGCCTGGGCTGCGGCAAATAATAGTAATTTGGCTAATTCAGAAATTGCAGCTTTCGGGTGGTGTTGTTGGCCCGGTTTGTTCGTTTGGCTTCTAGCCGTGAACTTGAAAAAGGCTTTGGCGGTTCTCTTTTAGCCTGAATTTTGTTGGCAGGACTAAGTGAAAATTAACAAGCCGGATAAAGGGAGTTTTAAATAAATAAAGGAGGAAGAAAAAGTGTTTGGATTCTTGGAAAGATATACCTAATACCCTTTAAAGACTCTCCTATTTAAGTGCCTTAACTATTTCTTATGATTTCTTTGATATCCTAAAAGGTTTCCCTATTTCAAACCTCTATTTATAAGCCCTATATATTGTTCAATCAAGCACATCTTCAACACCCACAGAATTCAATTAGAATGGTAACCTGAATATCTGAAATCAATGCCAATCAATGGCAATAAATATCTTTGCATTCGACTTGGCCTCCTTGGGAATTTTCTCTGGCCGACTCTTGTGCCACATGACGCAGGGAAAATAGGAAAATCAAAGGGGCGTTGCCATCGATTTGCGCGAGGGCGTGTCCAGGCGGCGGACGACGACGACGACGGGGCGTATGAGTAATCCACACGGGGTGCTCATAATCCAAACGCCTCCTTACCGTGTGGCACTCGTAAAGAGTGTTTGTGATGGCTTTAATTAAAGATCTGCCAAGGGGGGGGATTTGCATTTTGCATTTTGTGCAGAAAAGCAAAATAGCCTTAGATTGTGCAATGCGGAAGAGCACAGAATGAATTATTATGCAATTAGCAATTAGCATCAATTGAATCAGAACTCTGGACTCCGAGTCGGTCCCAAGAATGCGTATACTGGCCACCAAATCCACTCGACTGGGTCAACCGTTCATCAGCCCCGGGATTATCTGAATCTCTGCTCGGCGGGACACCAAGGTAACATCTCACATCTCCGGCATCGACATCTCGAGTGCCTTTGTTTACCCACTTTGATGCAACGTTTGTGTTTCTGTCAAACAAATAACGAAACGATTTGCTCATTTGTTGATATTTGCATTTCGCAATGGCCCCATAGATCCATACACAGTGCCAGAGACCCAAGAAGAAGCCTCCTCCATAAGAATGCAGCTCTCGAGTGTGCTAAAGATTTTGCAATTGACTTGGCGACTTGAACTCCGACTCTCCATTCGATTGGATTAGATTTGATTTGTTATTGCTATTGCCATTGCTATTGCTATTGCTATTGCTATTGCAGTGATGTAAATTGTAACAAAAGTGTTGATATTCTAGCGTTTTTTAAGACATTTTTTGCAAACATCAATGATAGTTTAGCTTTATTCCTCAAATCCATGGCATAACCCGCAAATCACTGACAAAAGACGCTGCGTCATCGGGGCAAAGTCCAAACTGCAGTGCTATAAATAGGCAAACAACTGCAGAAACAGCCAAGATATATCTGGCTGAAAGCTGCCAGCTGAAAGCAATCTGGCTTAATCATGTGAGAATCATGTGCTGGCCAGGCCAGGCCAGCGAACAGGGAATGTGGCACCAAAAACCAATGAAAAGAAACTTGCAACGGCGACCCAACTGAAATCGAGTTTGTCTTTTACTTAGTAACCGCGTAACTCAACTTGGCTCTTCGGCTTCTGAGCCAAGTCGACTTCGGATCGGGTTCTCTGCCCGGTTCTTTGCCGTTTTATTTTCTGCAGATACATGCAACATGACTCAACCATCAGCTGGTTTGAAGATGAAGTCAAAATGTAGAGATAACTGATTTAGAAAAGTCTGAAAGTTAGAGAGATTTTTTGGGGAGTTCTTAGCCATGATCTTGGGAAGCTCTAAATCAATGATCATGGCTAGAAAGACTACTTCCCCATCTTAAAAAAATCTTTCCTGAAACTCAGCCAAACTTCAAAACAAGTTGAAAGCCGCCAAAGTGCGGAAAACTGAACCGAACTGGCTTCTGTGGAAAACTGTTTGGGCTGCGGCAGAGGAAACGCTATTTCCAGGAAATGCACTTAACTCTTTCTCCTCTCCATCCAGCGCAAAATTTGAGGACCCAATCGCTAGGAACTTTCTTTTGATCAGGTGAAAAATTGGTCTGTGAAAAAAAGCAGAGAAATTGGATAAGCTCACTCACTCGGAAAGGCATTAACAAAGGGATGTGAGAACGAAAGCGAAGCAGTCTGCGGAGATCTTACCAATTCAAAAATTCCAAAGTACTAACAATGGAACACTGAACGAAAAATTTTTAAAAATATTGTAGTGCATACTTATAAGATATTATTATAACCTAACCTAACATAAGCATAACTAAAGTAATACCATCTTTATTTATATTTGATTTTAAAAATGCCATCAATTTTTCTCTCAGTTTAAAAGCCTATAGAGCTAATTAAGCCGCCTTGCATGAGCTGTGTGTGGTTTTTGTCGGGATTTTTTCTTCAGTCTTTTTGTAGGGCAGAGGTTGCGGGTGGTACTTGCATCGGGGAAAAAAAGCACTAACTGCAACATCAACAGCACCAACAGAGGCAACAAGAGCAACACCAGCAACAGTAACAACAAAGATGAGAAATCGCTGGCTTCCTGGCTTCATGAAGAAATAAGTCTAGAGTGCGCCAGATGAGGAAAAACTTGTTCATCTTCAGCTCTAACGAGCTAACGGAACGACAATCGGGCCAACTGACGGATGGACTAATGGACTGATGGACGGATTCCACAACAAAGACCAGACGATACGTAAACAACAGTAACAACCCAACAACAACTACTAAGTGGCAACAACAGCATCATCCCAAGTAGCAAATGGCAAGTGCAAGTGTAGCAGATACATAACTACAGTACTTCTTCAAAGATGGTCTTGAGATCACAAGGTGAACACTGATCACTTTCCACTAAAAGTTGGCTTGAATGAAAATCAGATAAAAATTAATATATTTTTTCTAACTTTTTTAGACTTTGATTAATAATTTTAACTAATAGTAGTCTTAAGTAAGGAGCTGCTTCTTTGATTAAATCTATAACTGATTTAAATACAGTACTTATAAAATATTTTTTTATAATTTTTAACAAGTCACGGTCGCCACTTTACCCCAAAAATTGAAGGTTTAGGTTGGCTGCCTCCTGGGCTCGGTGGATAGATCGACTTGTAGGTCTTATAGTGTATGTCTGTGGATATCAGGCCTTGCCCTGGCCAAGACAATAAACAAATAAATTACATGAAAGCGGCTGCCACAGTTTGAATCTTTTCAACAAGATAATCACAATGAAGCGGCACGAAATGTACTGCAGCAATGTGGCATCCTCATTAACCCTGCGATGCCCGCACTTCCCCCCGTGGGCTGACTGGGCTCCTTGGCTCTTTAAGCCAGGCGGGAAAGTGAAAGTCATTGCGAATCCCCCCATCAGTACTGAGTCTGCGATCCTCGGCATTGCAGAAGCAGGCAAAAAGTAATTGGCCAGGTCGGCACTTGGGTTAATTAAAACGCACTTTGTGGCCAAGTGGAAAACCAAGAAGAGTTGCTCTTTGGCCGACTCATCCATTGATATCTCCGCCATATATCGATACGATACGGTATGGCGGTATGGCGATATGGTATGAAATGTAAATATTTAAGTGACCACAAAAACCGCAAAGCGCGCATCCGTGAGATGCCTTTGAAATGTCTAAGACAAATTAATTTGCACGAGCACAAAGACGGGGTGATTTGGCCGCACTTTTCACTTCTTCTTCCGCAATAAACAAATCTCTTTTTGCCATTTTTTTTTTGTTGCATTTCCAAGGCACAGTGCCTTGGAAGTGCGAGCGGGAAAAGTAGGTATAGAAAGCTGCTCAATGAAATTCAATAAATTTGCTCAGGCGGCTGTGGTAGTGGAAGCGGCTGCCACTTAAAGCTGATAGCTATATTTAAGTCCATTTCCCCTCTTGTACCGATTTTAGCCAAAGGCTCTTTTGTGGGTCAGTCGAGCAGGCCGGCCGTTCGAGCCATGTAGGAGGCTTCTAAAGCGCATCTGTGCGGCTGTGTGAGTGGACTTGCAACAATTGGGTCAGCCTCGGCCCATGGGTTGTTGCCCCAACCTGCCTACCCAAGACCTTCTCGCCAGAACTTGTATTTAAATTGAAATTTAATCAGCAAAATGTTGGCAGGAAATGGAAGTAGTTCTCTAGACTATAATAATACCTAACAGAAATAAGAAGTAATCTTTTTTTTTTAGAAAATGTAATCCTAAGTTTCGGCTACTGGTCTTTTTTTTGGGGTAAGTGATTGTCAAGACCCTAAGAACAATGCTGTAAGTAACCTAAACTGATACTTGATAGCCTGGACCTGCCTCTCGAGCCTGCTGGGTATGTTGCACATTCAGGTGCACCAGGTAGAGTGTGACAAACCGTCTGAGTGGCCACTCGGATGCACGGATTTGGGCCCGAAAGCCACTTGGCCTCTACGCGTGGGCATGACAGGTTAACAGAAAAGCCAACAGGCGACGACAACTCAATAAACTAGCTTTTTGTGGCTTATTGACAGGCACAGTCCGACACGGCTCACATTCTGATCTGCGATTGTGCAATATTGAGCCGGGTGGCGGTGGCACATGTGGCATGTAGCATGTACCATATAGCAAGTGGCAAGAATCTGGGAGATCGAGATCAACTGGCAGCTGGCCGGCCAGAATGTTAAGAGTCGTGTGTGGGCCTTCGAGAGGCCAAAAGGGAAGGTAGCTTGGGGCCAAGTGGGCTAACATTACCAGAGAGACCCACATTGACATGCTCTGAATACTACTATGCCCCTCCAGCCATTGCTGCCGCATGTGGCAGGCACTTGCAGCAGCCGCTGGAGTCTTGAGAATGGCATTTTGATTTATTGGCTGGTTCCAGAGCTTCGATTGCATAATCGCCACCAAAAACTTAACGACAAAGTGACGGAGGTGGGGGTTGTATGCATTTTTTCCCACAATTTGCAAACAATAATGAAAACTTGGCTTATACCGGCTGCTGGCTGGCTGCCTAGCTGGCTGGCTGCCTAGCTGGCTGGCTGTCTGGCTGCCCGGCTAGTTGGCTAATTAAATCAAATAAGCCATGCAAGCGCATTAAAAATGCACACAACTGAGCTGAAAAGCAAAAAACGCGAGCAGACAAGCTAAAGTTAATAGAAAATTGGGAAACATCACATTAGTCACATAATGCGACGAATGGTTAATGCCCTGGCTATGGGATTTTTTAGGAAAAATAATATAATATAGATGAAAACTTAAAATATGCAATAGACATGCTTTAAGAAACATCTTTAATATTTATGGTTTATGAAGAAAAAAGGCTTAAAAAAAGTTTATATTAACAGAATAATACAAGATTGTGGTCTATGAAAATTATTAAAGAAAATTACAAATTCTTGAATAACAAATTCTCTATAATTTAGTCTTTTTCTCTTCTATTAAAAATCATCTTTAAAGACATCTATAATTTAGTCTTTTTCTCTTCTATTAAAAATCATCTTTAAAGACATCTACAATAAACATATTTTCCTTAACTTTTCCTAACCATTAAAGCCAAACATAAAAGCCAACAATTTACATTTTCCCAAGACCAAGCCAATTCCATAGCAATTACTCTCCGGCCAAAGAGGGTAGAAAAACAAAGGCAACAAAATGGCAAATAAAAAATTACACTCGGCTGCATGCCACAAGTGGCCAAAGTGGTGGCACCGCCAGCAGCCGGCCGGCAACGACCGATAAGAGACCCACACAAGACAACAGAAATATGGTCACAGCGGCTAAGGCAACAACAAAATTGGTAACAAAAAGGCAACCAATTAAGGCCAATTTAGTTGCAGCAACGCCGCACCAAAGCGGCAGCGACACAAGAAATAATCAGTGGAAAAACAGCAACCAGAGCAACAGCGGCAGCAACACTACATAGCAACTGCAACAACTACATACAGTATCTCAGACTGAGACTCAGACCCAGCATGCAAATGAGAGCAGCCGAGCTGCAACCAAAGTAACTTGATACAAATTTTACAAAAAAAAAAAACAACAAAAACACAAGAGTAACAAAAACAACAGTGGCAAAAATTATGTATGTACAGGTATTTGCAAGAAATTTTCACATTTTTTTTGTAGTTGCTTGGGAACTGTGAGAAAATATTCAAAGCAACTGAAACAGAAATCTTTGGTACAGTAAAGCGTCCTTAAATGGAAAACACACAAGTCATTAAACTAGCAAAAATTTGTCTTTATTTAATGAAGTTTCCTTAGTAATATTTTAAGGATTTTACACGAAATGCAGTAATAAGGTGTCATTAAAAAAGGAAAACCAGCTACTTATTAGTAACTTATATTAAATAAATTATTTTTAATAAACTGGTTTATCAAAAATGACTATAAAGTGTTTGATTGATGGGGTGTTGGAAAGATTAAAAATAATGGGAGCTTTGGTTAATAAGGAGATAGTTTGGAAGAGATATGTAGTTTTAATATAAGTAACAAGTTAGGTTAAAAAACCCATTTTTAAGCTTTTCTTTAAATTTAATTAAATACAAAATTATAAACCTAAATTAAATTACAATTTTATTAAAGTAGTTTTCACTGTCATTATTATCTCCAAGTTCCCAAAGTATCAATTACAGAATCTGAACTGTAGTTGCATTTTTTATGAAAAGGGGTGGTATGGTGTGGGTGTGGGGAAAAGCTGGGGAATATATTAGTAGGAGATACCTGGAGACAGAGACAGACAGCTTGGCGCTGTTCTGATTTCGATTATTATCGATTAATGCCGCCTGGTGACAGCTTCTCACAGCTACAACACAGCACAGAAACTTGGCCAGCAAGTGCAGAGAAATCTTTGTTGGTTTTCAATATTAAAAGAATGGGGGGACAGCGGGGCGGATGGGTAACAAGGTGGAGCCGCTGGCTCACTCGTTGCATTGTAGTGGTGGTAGTTGTAGTTGGGTATTGTTTGCCCAAGGCGGCCCATTAAAGTTTAAAGCTTAGGCCAGCAAGTGCCGTGACCTTTTTTTTTTCTCTCAATTCGAGTTCTTTCGGCTGCCCCTTTTTTGTGGGATTTGATTGTTGTGGTGGGTACTTTTTTTGTTTTCTTGTTCAGTGGCCGCATCCGAATCTAATTGCTCAAGAGTCTTTGGGGCACGGAGGAGAAGTACACACAAAATTGGTCATACCACATAGATTTAAAAAGTCTTTATTCAAGATAAGGCATTCTGTACCAACAGCTTAAGACCTAACATTTTTAAAGGCCTATATTTATATTCATTTTAGTATTAGTTTTTTTTAAGCTCTTTCTTACTAGTTTTTCTTTGAGTGTATTTTTTGGTGTACCCCAAATTACCAAAAATAAAGGGCCGCCAAGTCACGCGCCGTTGGTGTTTATTGTATCTTAAAGTGCATTATCTTTTTCTTACCAAAATCAATTAAGCTGGAACACTCACTAAGGCACTAACTCACATGTATGCAGTCCTACCAACACACCCACGCATGCAGGTGGCAAAAACTTCACTTTATAACCCGTTTTTTTTAGTGGCAAGAAAACTACTAAACTTCGCACACACTTGTTCACTTTCTTCTCATCGTGCGTACGTTTGTATGGGGAAGTGTTCACCTGTATTCGTGTGCAGCATCCCAGCAGAAAGTAACTGTATCTCATGGACACATCTCTGCAGATACATATGTACATACCTGTTCAGCGAATTAGCAATACCGCAAATATGTGTCGCTTTCAATTGCAATCGCAACTAGTCTTGAAGCCATAAGCTCGAACTTTAGCCTACGCCGGCAACCAGATGCACACACACTCGCGCTTGAGTTAAGATCCAAACATACTCCCCTCAGCCAGAGAGATAAACAAACGGAGGAAAACTGACGGGCGGTGGAAAAAGCAAAACACTTGCGTAAATATTGGCCTTGCTCATGGAGAGAGAGAGCGAGAGCGGAAAAGTCAACGGAAACCAAAGACGCGCTCGGGTTCTGGAGCTTGAATGCAGCTCCAATTCAATCGGAGAAATGCGGGAAGATAGTGTATGGTATCTTGTATCTTCAAGATACTGTTAAGCGATGGGAATTTTCAAATTACAGTGTTGAACAACGTTGCCATGGATGTTTTGGTATTTTTTACTAAATACCGGTTTAAAGTTCTGGTGTGACCAAAAGATTCGGCTATTTTTTTTTTAGAGTAAATTAATTTTCAGTTTTTAATTAATTAAATTGTAACTATTTAAACATTATTTAATATAAACTCAAAAAATAAACCTAAAGTAAGCCTTTTTATGGTTTGAGCGACCACAAAAAAATACCAAAACCAGTGACTTCGTCGTCTGTGACCAGGTATCGTATTAAAGCTTTTGAGATCTCTTCTGATTTGTCAACCTTGAGTACAACGGAAAAATAATAATAAAAAAAAAGGTTTAATCCATTAGATTTCCCAATTATTTTCGTAGTAGTTCTTTGATTTTTGACATTAAAGAATAGAATTTTATCAAATTAGTTCCTGTAGTTCCTGTAAAATAACAGTCGGATATTTCTTGTTAACGGTATCTAGTATTTATCTAACAGTATTGAGGTATTTTAAGTACAACCCTTATTTAATACCAAAGTGGAGCTCGTCAGCCCTGCATTCAACAACCACCCCCAGCCCCCAATAAACTACCAACTGGCGAAAATCACCCGCAGCTGAAAACTGGAACGCAGGACAAGAACGAAAACGAAAATATGCTCAAGTCGGAGGTGCAGCACCAGTTCTGGATCACGAAGAAGGCGGTCCAACGAAAGCTGGGGACCAAGGAGGACAAGCATGTAATATCCTCGGACGCGGAGCTGGACGCCAAGATAGAGGTGTTCAAATCGATATCGGACACCAGCCTGAACCTATGCAAAATCATTGACCAGTACCAGGAGCGTCTGTGCATCCTGTCCCAGGAGGAGTGTGTGTTCGGGCGCTTCCTGAAGGAGGCGGGCAAGCGAAGTAAGACAACAGGCGGCAGCATCGCTCACACTGGCAAGGCGGTGTCCTTTGCAGGACAACAGCGTATGTGCGTAAGGGTGCCGCTGCTCCGTTTGCAGCACGAGGTGGATGTGTTCAGATGCCGTGCCGTGAAGGACACTGAGCAGACGCTTCAGGCGATGGAGAAGGAGCGAACAGAGTACAGGGCAGCTCTGTCCTGGATGAAATCCGCCAGCCAGGAATTGGATCCGGATACGGGCAAGGGCCTGGATAAATTCCGTACAGCGCAGACACATGTCCGCGTGGCCAAGCATAACTTTGATGGCTACTCCTTGGACTCCATTCAGAAGGTATTGATATGTCCTCATGTCCTTTGGGAATTTCGTTTTGGGAAGAAGATGTTTCTCTTTGGAAGAAGAAGAGAAAATGGTGTTTCCCGCCATGTTTGTTTGGTGGTTGCCCAAAAAAGTATGCTACAGAAATGTGATTTTATAAAATATCATACTCCTTCAGTTTCAGGCACACTCCTTCCTTTTCCAAAGATCTTCCTCTCTAAATATTATCTTAAAATAATTCAGAGACTACTAATTATGTTTTTTTTTATTTTATTTAGATCGATTTGTTGGCCGCTGCCCGCTGCAACATGTATTCCCATGCTTTGGTCGCCTACGTGGCCGAGCTGAAGAGTTTCGCCCAGAAGGCGGCCTCCACATTCCAGACCATATCCAAAGCCTTGATCATCAAGCCCAAATATGATTTCTGCGTCCTGAAGGAGCTGTCGCAAGCCGAGGGCCCTAGCGAGGAAGTGCCGCCCATAGAGGCAGTGGACAAGGATCAGTCGCTGTTCTTTGCTGTAACTTACAACCAAGACGTCTTTAAACTTTGATAACCAAATAATCTCTTCCAGAACGAATACCAAGACAAGCCGGAGGAATCGCATCCTGAAACAAAGCCATCCAGCGAGGAGCCAACAAAATCCGAGCCTGCCACTGCCTGCGGCGACAATGAGTCCTTGCTGATTGAGCTTTCCAAGCAACTGGAGGAGAGTCCGCTGATTGATGCTTCTCTGGACGAGGAACCTGCCCAGCCAAGCAGCAACACCAAGTTCTGGGCACGCATGTTCAGTCATCAGAGTTCACAGTCCCAGCCCCAGCAGCCCATGCCAAGCAGTACTGTTTCGAAACAGACCTCCGGAGGAGCCTCCTCTTCTGCTCCCCAATCCAAGGCCCAGGCCGGCAACAATCCCTGGCTCGACCTCTTCGCCGACCTAGATCCCCTGGCCAATCCGCAGGCCTTTGACCTAAAAATGAGCGGCGGACGGAGTGTCGCCGAGCAAACATAAGATTACCCCCGATTTCGGATCATCATTTATATATATATGGATCTACCTGTGGCAACCGTAGCTAGTCAAATGGAGAAACTTTGGATGTAACTTTTCGCTAAACGTTCAAAAACTTTTTATGTTTTATTTAAATAAAATTTATATGGGACACAGCAGCTAAAAGAGGAGGACAGAGTGGGGAGCGATATATGGGCCCCCACTCATTTGACCGCCGCCTGAGCCTCCTTCTTGGAGTTGACCAGCTCGACCAGTTCCTTTACCCTTCTCATGCAATCCTTTTTACTGCGGTTCGGTATACAGGAGGCGATCCTGTCCCACCGATCGGGAGTGGTGTTGGGATAGGTTTTGATGGCCTGCTCCAAGAGTGCTTGCTCCTCCTTGGTCCAGGTCTTGGAGGCAGCTCCTCCGGTTCCGTTTGTAGCTGGTGCTGCCGCGGGGGCATCTGTAGGGGCAGCTCCCACTGTACCGTTTTGCTTGGTCTGTTGCTTCTGTTGCTGATTGTTCACCTTGTGGTCTACTCCGTTCTGTTTAACATTCTCCTTGCTCGCCTGGGCGGGCGTCTCCTCGCCCAGTGTAATGTCGTTGGAGGTCTGCACCTCCTTCTTGGATTTCTCGAAACTGGCAAAGGCGGCATCGTTGGCCTGAGTCTTCAGCGAGCTCTTCGAGTGATCAGTGTTTTGCAGAGCCTTGGCTTTGTTCAGGACATCTCTTGCGGTGACTAGCGCTCCGTTGGAAGCATTTGCCGGACTGTGTTGGTTGATAAAGGTGGCTATCACATCCCACCTCTGGGCAGTGCCGGCCGGAAACAGATTCACCGCCTTGATCAGCAGTTGTACATTCTCATTGCTCCAGAGTTCGGTCTTCTTGACTTCCTTGACTCCCTTTGGCGTTGCTGGTGCAGTGGTCTTCTGCTTCAGCTGCGACTGATTAATCTCCTCGAGCTCGGCGGCAATCTTCTGCTCGGCTGTGTGCAAAGCCGCCACAAACGATTCCCGGCCTTTCGATTCCATGGCTTTGTTCAAGGCCTGCATCTCTGCAAGGTTGAAAGTCTCGCAGATCTTTTCAGTGCCCTCCATATGCTTCAGCTGATCCTTGTCGTTCTTGGCGTAATACTTGCAGTCCTTGACCTTGTCGCGTAGAATCTTGCGCTCCTTCTTCAGCAGCTTCTTTTGTTGCTCGCGTTCGATCCGAATCTGTTCAATACGTTTCTGTTCTGCCTTCTCGGCTTTCTCCTTGGCCAATGCTGCCTCTCGAACGGCACGTTCCTGCTCTGCCTTTTGGGCCTGAGCGGCGTCCATTTTGGCCCGTTTAGCAGCTGCCTTGCGGTCCTTCTCCTCCTGCTTAAACCGCTGGATACGCTTGTCGTTGTTGTAGGCAAGATCAACAAGCGACCGTATCCTCGTCATCTCCTCCTTCTTTCGCTTTATTCGCGCCGCCTTGTTTTCCTTCTCGATCCATCGTCTCTCGTCGCGGTCCTGTCCCTTCTCCTTGTCCTCCTCGTCCAGGTAGCTGAACTCTCGCCACGATTTGAAGTCATACCAGAAGTTGTAAAACCGCTCTACCTCGTCGCGTTTGGCGTCTACCTCGCCAAATGCCGGTACATGGGCCTTTTCGCTCCAGCGTCCGTTAAGTGTAAAATATTTATTGAATACGCCAAAATAATTGCTATCTATGTCGCTTTGCGTGGGCAGCGAGTCATCGAATTCGGGGTCTACGGAATCAAAGCTTCGTCGTGCTTTCGGGGTACCTGGAATATAAAGATTAACAGAATTAGAAGGGCTTTCCAAGCGAATCAAATCTGCATGATCATAGTTTTATAATCATTATATAGTATATTCTACAAGGCTCTTAATAAACTCTTAAATGGATAACATTCAGGCACAGAAATATAAAAATAGCTCAATAGATTCTTAACAAAATACACCCTTTTAGTCAACACCCACCTAGTATCTCGTAGGCTTTGGTTATGCATGTGAAATAGTCGTCATCCTGTATCACTTCCTCGCCCTTGGCTTTCCGCTTGTCCGGATGGTGTAGCAGGACCATTCGTCTGTAGGAGCGTCGTATATCATCGTCGGTGGCCTCGAATCTGAAAGAGGATGCATTAAATGCATAAAGGAAGCGATAAAAATAAATACCATGCATTAGTCACACACGTGCTGCTACCACCCATACGCACACACACACTTACCTCAGTTTTCCCAGGCCAAGAATGCTGTAATGATCCTGGTCTTTCCACTCCTTGGGGTCCAGCGACTTGAGGTAGCTAATGTCAACCTCCTCGCCGACTCCCTCCAGCTTCTCATCGCTTTCGCTGCGCTCCACGCCTCCGGGGGCATGCAGTTGGCGGCGCGAAGAATAGTAGACGAAGCCAACGCGCTCCACTCGTCGGCGGGCGACCTTGAGCGGGACTTCCACCGCCACCAGCGCCGTCGCCGCTGTCGTTGTCACTTCACTGCTGTTAGTCATCTCGTCCTGTTTGCACTCGCGTCCTATTATGTTGTTGTCGTTGTGGTTATTACATGCACCCACGCTTCACTTGAATTTGGTGAGCAAAAATGTGTTAACAAATTCCCGCATGAGTTTTGACCAGTGTTGCGCACCGCGCGCCGTTGTCCAGAGTTGAAAAATACCAAAAAATTTATAGCAACCCACAATCTGGTTCGGATACTGGCTAATACAGGGTTTCAGCATGTATTACCGGTTCGAAAACGCAGTGCAAAACAGGTTTTCCAAATGAATTTCGTTTGGAAATTTCAAATTTAGCGCAATTTGGCGCTTTTAAATACTGAAAGGTCCCATCTCATTAGACCTTCTTTCAAAAACACATACATCAATGAGACATGCTCATGCGTTTTACAACACTGCAAAAATAAAAACGCGGGCAAAGCGCGAATTATGTGACCTTTGTTGGTTTTAGAAAAACGACTAACTTTTTAACTTTAATTTTTAACGTTTAGTTGTAGTTTTTTTTAATATAATTTCAAACTTCTATGAAACAGATATCAGAAATCATTTACGTACAGGAAATCAACATAAATATATCTCTTTTCACTGAGGGAAAAAGCACAGGGCATTCATTGTTTTTCAATTATCACATTTATTTTTAACGTTTCTTTAATTACAATATATTGTAGTGGGCATAAACATTTGTTGGCTATTAGCCCCTTGAGGCAGATACAATTTTTTTTAAGTTAAAATATATTACACTCAGATGTTCTTAAACTTTTTACATAAACGATTTAAGTAAGAATAAAATATAATATAAAAGATTTGTACAACGAATGTTTGATTTTGTTTTTCATTTGACTACTAACACTAGGAATTAATCCGTAAAATGGTAAATGTTTTGGTAGAATTGATCAAAGTTAGTAGGTCCATTGGCATTTCGTTCGGTTGAGACTGTGGGAAGATCTTAATTTCTTAATTTAAACTTTAATTTAAAGACACACACAGACAGCATTTCTTAACGTTAACGACTAGAATTGTGCTGAGATAATGCAAGAATTATATACTAATACAAATGTATATATATATTTGATCTATCAGCTCTAGGACTGTGTTTTTAAAATTCTACTAAGTAGCTTCAGTGCCGTTTTCCACTAAATAATCTAAAGCTAATGCCATTAACACTTAGGAAACTTCAGGCCTAACTGCACTGACTTTGTTTAGGTTTTTGTTTCTTTTTTTTAACCATTTCGTTAAGCATAAAATCGTTCCAAAAATAAATTCATCAGACAATTTCCCGACTTGAGATCGACTTAGACCCAGTTAGTACGCGTCGTCGTTGGCTATAACGCATCGTTGTGACTCTTCGATATGGTCGTCTCGATCTGATCAATACGTCGGAACGATGGCATGTAGCTGGAACTGGCTTGGGTGACAATCGAATTGTTGGAGGAACTCTGAAAATAAATAGAATCGTAATAATAATTTATAATACTTAGATTTTAATACTTTAAGATTTTTAAAGGGATACTTCAGAATAATGGAGAAAAAATCGAAAAAATAATTTGTTGCCATGTTTTGATGCAGATTGATGGAGAATCGATCTACAAATCGTTTAAGGTATCCCGCTTATGAATCGTATAAATATTGCCAAAGATATAGCTATTGCAAGGGGTCGTACTGCCCCTCCCTGCATTTTTCCAAATTTTTTCCAAAAATTTATTTAAATATATTGATTTTTTCGCTTATTACCTTCTTCTGGCGATAGGAACGTCCCCGGACGCGGGTTGTGTTCCGGCGCACTGGATTAACAGTCGTGGACTTCTGGGAAAGTCGAACTGAACTGAAAGTGCTTCCACGGTGCCCACGTCGGATTTGCGGCGAAGGAGTACCCGTAGCTAAAAATAAAACAATAAAGTAACAAAAAAGTAATGATTTATCCTGTTATTAAGCTTACGGGTTCCGGTGATGGCCGTGCTTCGTTTGCTGGCCTGGAGCATTCCGAAGACCACGGCGCTAAAGGATCCATGATGGGATGTCTGGCGCTGGAGATTCGGGGTCTGGGCGAGAGGAATACCAGCTGGTAGGCGGACTGGCGAGATCAACTGGCTTTCCGTGATTCCCTTGGGATGGACGTAGAATGTGGTCATCATGCCCTTGCCCTTAACATTGATTTCACCGCGTTTCTAATTTGGAATTGGATTAATAATTTGGCGGATTTCTAGCTGGAAATAATAGTTACTTACCACACAAGTGTAGCCCCGAGAGCAGAGCAGCTCCGCCGTATTTTCCGGCACTTGAACCCGCCAATTCTCACCCGTGGAGTCCATTCGGGACGCCACATTCACCGTATTGCCCCAGATGTCGTAGACGGGCTTCCTGGCTCCAATCACTCCACTTACCAGCGGCCCACTGCAGATACCCACCCGGAGCTGGAAATTGTTGAAGGCGTCTCCGTTGATCTCTTCCAGCTTTTGCTTCATGGCGAAGGCGAACTCGATAAGGTCGCAGACACTGTCCTCGGAGGTCTCCCCGCGCAGCCGGAGATGTTCGTGGTTTAATCCGGCCGCCGCCATGTATGTGGCACCCACCGTTTTGATTTTCTCCACCGATGCGAAGCGCGGCTCCTCCAGCAATTCATCAAAGTCGCCTGCCAGGTGATGGGGTAGATATGCGTGCATCATTAGACAAATGAAATCACACGGGTCACAGCAGTTAATCAATCAACTTACAGATTATCTCGTTCAGGATGCGAATGCAGGCCTTGCCATTGTCTATGTCCTCGGAGTAAAAGTCCTGGAAGTTCGGTATCGAGGCGAACATCACCCCGCAGAGATTGTGCATCTTGGAGTAGAGCTCGTCCGTGTGCTCATCGGATAGGTAGTAGGCGGCCACGTGGTCCGGCAGGATGTTCTGGAATTAATTTGGGGAATTTAATTAATAGCAGAATAAATGGTAGTGGAATAAAGGGAAGGGGACGTGCATTGAGAAAAATTGGGACTCGGTTTCTTGTTTTTCATTTCTCCCAAACTTCATAAATCCATAAATCCTTTTGAAAGGAAACCAAATTCTTTACCACAATAATAAAATCCCATTAATTATGGTTTCATAAAACTTTCTCCCTGTGTGTGGAATGGAATCTGTTACCTTAATTAATGTGTCATTAAGCGCACGATTGGATTTCATGTTGGTCAGTTCACGCTCGGCTTGCTCCTTCCATATGAAGTCCAGGCGGCTGGTTACCTGCGGGATTCGAAAAGAATAATCAATCCGGGGGTCAGAGGTCCCGCACCCATTCATCAGATATCAGACGCTTTACCTCCACAAGTCGGGCATGGTAGCAGACCATTACCAGGAACGAGATGAGCAGTATCAGCATCTGGACGCCCAAGGGCATGCCCAGCCGGGAGAGATCCCCCAGGCTGAAGCTGTCGCCGGAGCTGAACTTCAGCATAATCAGGGCGGTGTAGAAGGCCACCATTCCTAGGGCCATGACTGCTTTCACCAAGTAGTAGAGCTTTAAAGCCGTGGCCAGGGACACGAGGCATAGGACCCAGGTGAAGACCAGGTACTCCGGATGGGCGCACTCCCCCTCCAAGTCCACATCAGTCCGCAGGCCAGATCCGTCCACATAGCTGAGGTTGCTCAAGGATACACTGTGGCCGTTGTTGGTGAGCGTGTAGGGACGATGGGAGCGCTCAAAGTGTTCCAGGGGCGGCGTCAAATTCAGGCTTAGGGCATTGGCCAGAGTGCTGCGCACCAGCTCATCAGTGGGAGCACTCGTAATGTCCACCAGGGAGGCGGCAGGACCCCCTCCACTAGTCGGAGTGCTAATCGTGATGTTGTGATGAATGGTGGCCGAGAGGTAGACATTCAGCTTGTACTCCTTGTCCGCCAGGGATGTGTTGCTGTAGAGGGAGGCGAGGCGCAGGAATCGCGACTGCTCGTCAACGGTTCCTATGTAGGTGGAGGAAGGACACAGGACCAGGCCAATGGCACTCAGCATGCACATGGACACGATGACGCCGCAAATGAAGAGAGTGCGACGTTGTCGCTGATGAACCAACTTGGCGGAGTTCGTTTTCAGGCAGCGGGGAAGTCCTGCGGGATAATCAGGATAAAAGGGTTAGTATATTTCATATTCCTTTTTGATATATATGAGGGTTTCTTCTGGTAAATACACTATAAGATCTATAATTTATATATCCTGAAACTCACCTGGAAATTCTTCAGCCATTACGAGGACACAGCAAAAGGTGAGAACCACAGTGCCCACCGAGAGGCAAATAATGAGCCGCGTGCACCGCGGAATGATGATGACCTGGCACAGAACCATAAATATCCAAATGACAAACACACACAGCATGTTGGATCTGTAGTGGCAAGAGGAGACGGAGAAAGAGCAGAAATCAATTAGCAACAGTTCATTAATTAAGAGGGTCCGTTTTCCTTTTGTTTGTTTTCCATTAGCCAGTTTCAGGCTTGCATACGCACCGGAACATATCCTCCCGCAGCTGGCAGAACTTCTGCTCCTGGCACTTGTCTTTGAACTTCAGGGTCCAGGGATTTAAGTACTCTCGTCGGATTTCCTTATTCGAATTGATTTGGATGTTCTGCTCAATGAACTCGTCGATCTGAAGGATATTATAGATTATGGAGGGGTTTAAGGAACAGTTTTATAAAAGTTTATGAAATTATTTCGTTTGCTTTTTTAAGTTCAAGTACCTCTTCATCTAGAACTGCCACGGAGAGTCGATGGTCTTCTTTGGTATCAACTAGTATGGAATCTGCACGATTGAGGCCTTCTTCAGGACTATTGAGCTGGAGGGGAAAAAAGGATAAATAGGTGAGTATTTTATACTATTCTAAAATCTTTAGAGTCCTTAAATCATCAACTTGAAATACATTCAAACGTACATTCTTGAATGGAATCTCTGGAATCCAGTCCGTGGTTGACTCATCTTCGATAATCAAACCCTTTCCATCTATGGCTTCCGCCAGGTTTTGAATACTGGAGGCTCCATTCCTGGGTCGGAGTTGCTGTTCCAGCGGAGCCGACATCATAGCCGTGGGCGAGGACACTGTTGATAATCCCGCAGGACCCGCTCCTCCTCCACCTCCAGCAGATCCGGTTCCGGTAATCCCAGCTCCACCATTTCTCAATCTGCGACTATCCATGGCC